CACTGAAGTGGGTCAAAGAATTCAATAAGTTCGACCTCTACTCCAAAGGTGATGCAGTGCCAGATGTGGAGGCGTTGAAACCTTATTATGCGGGGCTTCTGAAGAAGTATGGCCTGGATGGAAAGTTGAAGTGGTGAGTCGAAAGACTCCTTGAATTTTCTCATGGCTGAGCAAATCGAACACGTGACTGGGGGCGAGTGCAGACGTCGATCTCGCGGTCGGCCAATTCAGTAATTTTCAATTTTGACTCGAAGCCGAATCGTCGCACCAGAAGACCTTGGACGTTTCGAATCTCAGATTCTTGAGATGTCCTTGAGGTTTTCTGACTGTCGTTGCTTCGGTTTCAAATTTAGTGCACCTGCAGGTCTGCTGTCTAAATGGGGCTGGCGTGTGGATGTTGGAGGGGCACCTCCGTCACCCTCCTCCCACAGCCCCCCCGGCAGCCGTGCCTTTCTGCAAGAGGTTGCATGTCTGCGCTGTTATCCCCGGCAGGTTCCCCTTGCAATCCTTCACAGAAGATGGGCCGTTTGATGAGCCTACGGCATGGACAGAAACAGGGTCCGATGCCATTTTACAAGAGCCGTCAAGAGATGGGACAGCGGAGCGTTATCATGGTCGTTGGCTCTTGTGCAGGCTTTTGCGGCTCGCATCCCAGCGGACATCAGGAAAGGTGGCCCCCCTCTCTTTCTCTGGGCTCAGGAAGCTCTTGTCCGTTCTGCTCGCCAGGCATATCGGCCTGTCGGCAGCTCCTGCTCAATGAGGAGTGAGCTCCTAGCAGATTCTAGCAGCCTTTGCAGACCTTCTACAGGTGGACAAACCTCTGTTGTCCTTTTTTTTACATGACAGGAGCATGCAGGAGCCATGACTCAGCTTCGTGGCATCACTGAAGAGGCCAGTTTTGCATCCATACTCCGTCTTGCATTGTTGCCAAGCCGCATCAAAAAGCGCAGCTTCATTTTTCTCTCGCAGGACATTGCAAGTGCCCGTAGTGAGCACGACCGAGAAGCTCGTATGGCTCGGGTTGCCATCCTGGAGCAGTGCTCAGACGTGTTGGATGTCCGACGCCATGTTGCAAATAATTGCCAACATTTGGAGAACCCAGGAGCAGTTTGTGGGCATTCTGCGGGAGAACGGTGACAAGCAACTTCGGGCATTCCACAACGCGTTGCTGGCTCGTTTGCTTGGAGACTTGGCATGTGACAGATGTGACACGGCATATGCGACGTGCCATGACATGGCTCTCCTTGGGTGCCAGGACCTTCAGGACTTGAAGGGCGCTTTGCGCGTCTTCTGCAGGGTGAGGCCCAGTCTTCCTTGTGCGATGAAGTTTGCGTCTTCCCTCAACCTCTGTGGCAACGCAACTGCTGGGGGAATGCCGCACGGCAACCCGAAGAGAGCGAAAGATCGTCGTTAAGGGCCTCTCTGTGCCAAGCACCGGGGCAAATCAGAACGAGTGTAAAAAGGAAGGGTCCCAGTCACAACCTCCCACGCTACTGGTCGGCCAATGACCTGCGGGTGAATCACTTGTGTCTCTGACTTGTTCGCTCTCATGAGAAAGGGTTTTGATTTTTCCAGCAGTTTGGGATGACAAAGGCACCGCATTTGCACCGTGAACGCTTCCTAGGTCCTCATTGGGAGGGGGTTTGTTTACAAATCTTTCTGGGCATCGAGGCCTCTAAATGGGCGCGAGATCAAGAAGAATGACACGATCGCGGTTGAAGCTGGGAGCCTAGTTGTTGTGTCTCCTGTGCTACTCTGCACAACTTCCAGGTACGAAGGGTTAATTAATCGATCCGGGGTTTGCAAGGATGCAACTTAGGTTGAGTTCTGCGTTCGGAAGCAGGTTAAGGATTTTGTTGTCTGCCGCTGAGATTGTTGACGCCTTCACCGTTGCGGTCAACAAATCTGAGACGGACAAGCAGGCTGGACCATGGTCCAACAGCGAATAAGCCTTTTTGAAGTCGCCTTGTGAGACGGTCCTCGATGCAGCACAGAAGCGCATGGATTTTTTTGAAATAAATCGAATAAATCCCGTTCCAGTCCTCAAGGGAACACCCATAAGCTGATTGCAATCAATACATACCTCCAGGGGCCCGCCTATTCGAGAAACCGCAGTCCTGTGATTGCTCAGTTGAGGACTGAGACATCCTCATAGCTCTTGGGACTCTAATGGAACCAGCAGAAGATGACGAAGCCAGAAGAACTGTTCCTAAGAGGAAGCAAGATGCTGCTCACTGTGTAGGCCTCATAAGTGGAAATACATCTTCCAAGATTTAGACCCCAGTAGTTCCTGCCTGCGAGACCTTCACCTACGATGCCATCTTCGGGCGAGGCGGCGCCAGCTTCATAGCCAAAGCAAGAGCCTCTTGCATTGGTGCCGTATCATTGGGACCAGTGCTGTTGCCATTTCCAGCATTACCAGCACTGTTTCTGCTTTGCTTCCTTTTTGTCACTTCAATGTGAATATGTAGCCTTATAGAATCTTGTAGAGATCTTGCCCTTTACCTGGAGGCAGCTCCCAGTCAGATGTCTTCGCGGAATGCAAGGGCCTGGTGCAGTTCTTGGCCAGGGAGTGAGCTCAGGACGTTCAGATATGTTTCTGATCGGGGCAATAATTTTGAGATTCACGAGCAGAACATGATAGCAACAGTATTGTTTCCTGAAAGTAGTCACAGAAGGAATGATGACCACAATATGAAGGATAGATAGGAGTAGAGTTAGAAGCTCGTAGGAGGAGGGCCCGGGGTGGCCATGGTGCCTGGCCTTCCGGTAGCAGTGCTATTTGTGCAAAAGCCGCCGTCCACGTCGTGCATGCGTCTGGTAGAGCAAAGATGGAGAGTGGTTTGCAACCCAAGTTTAACATGGCCATGGAGGTGTAGCCGTCCGGGTATACACGCTCTCTGTCTATGTGTGTATTCATGAGAGTAGGGTTGTACCTAAAAAGCTAAAGAAGAAGAAGTTCCAGCCAGGTGCAGAGCATGGTGGATGGCTACAACGTCACCGTTTTTACGTGCCTCCGGAAATTTGGCTGTTGCTAACGTCATGGTCAATCTTGTAGGTCCCACGCTTTGTCGCGAGGGATTGCAGACGAAGGATAATTCTTGCACAACCTACCACCAAACTGAGACCCTATGCACATCCACTGCAATGACATATGCTCAAATTGTACTTGCACAGGTACGGTCAAACTGGCGCAGGGAAGACATGGACCCTGCGGCGTGCTCGGTTGCCTAAACCCTAAGAATTATCCTGAAGTGGGACCCTCCTGGCGCTGCTGCGGCTGGTGATGACGATGATGATGATTTGTTGCTGCTTCTTTCCGTGCTGTTGCAACTACTAGGGTAGTGCTACTGCCCCTGCAACTGCTACTTCTAGTATTTAGGCTTGTGTTACTGAAGCTACTGATTACCACAAACTATATTCAATACATCATCACCTTCCTACGATGGCTGAGGTATGGCTCTGGGGCAGAGCCAGGCCTTTCTCCGAGGCTTTGCGAGGCTCTGGGTCCTCTTCCTCTGGTGCTGTGTTTTGAGCGGTTGCTGTCAAGGAACTTGAATTGAATTACTATAGTAGGGGACCCCCTTTATTGAATTATTTGCTATATGTCCATTATATAACGCCCACTTTGAGGGGTTGCTTGGGGTGTATGGTGTGTTCAGGATGTCTTGGCTCCCTAGCTTTCTCACTGAATGACTGCCGCCGCTGACAACTCTCAGACAGAGAGGGCTCTTCATCTGATCAGAGCTTGGGTCGACGCAGGAAGTGTTCCGGGTCGTCCACCGCGATCGGGAGAAGTGGGCTACCCAGTCCCCTATCCTCGGGCAGTTCCCGTTCTATGATTCAACCAATTTACCAAGCTTCATCTGGATTTTTTGGAAGGCGAAAGTCGAAAGAAATGATACGCAGAGAGAAACACAACTGCGTTTACTAATTCACATGGGAACGATGCCTTGGACGTACTTGGAGGATGTTGGCTTTTGGTCTGCTTGGTTGAGCGATATATGCCGGGTTCACTGCGATCAGTCACAGGTAGCGGTAGGCGTCCTTCCTGAAATTGACTCTCATGCATTGCGGAGATGGTAGTTGCAGAACTCGTTTCTAAGGTTGACTGACACACTTCAGTGTTTGGTGATTGGGACTTTCGTGTGCATCGTGGCTGCAAGGCTCGACTTTGAAGTCCGTGCCTCCATGATTGAGCTCTACTTGTCTGCCGGGGGCTCGGCGAGTGGCAAGGAAAAAACTGTTTAGATCTTCTTCGCTGTGTTGCTGGATAGCAATTTCTTGCTGTCCGAGTCTGATTGATCATTGTTCCCATCCTAATGGTGTAACATTCCTGATCTAGAAGACGCAACGGGAACTTACAGCGAGCAATGAGATTCCCCAAATCGGCAAAGGACGGTCTTTAGGTCTGCAGATGAGCTGATGGAGGAGGTGGAGGAGGTGGAGGATCAGTACCAGTGTTGGTGCCACCAGCAGCAGCATCACCACCAGCAAAGTCGCCGGAAAGGCACCAGCGGCAGCATCGCCGCCAAGAACCCGTTGCCGCCACCACCACCATACCGCCACCGCCATCTTCATTTTGTGCAATTCCAATGATTGTGGTCACTTGTTATCTTTTGGGTGCACGGCGGGGCCTGCCGAGGACTTGCGTGATCTGCTTTCCAAGAACAAGGACCTGTCATGCATGCTTGCTCGTCATGAGAAACATTCGTGTAACATGGGACAACTGAGGAAGCCACAAGGTCATGTAGTAAACGCCCTGGTCATTTTTGTCTCCTCCAGCCTTCTCTCATGTGTCCTGCGCCGCCTTGGCTGTGGAGGAGCCGCCCAAGCTGGAGTTCAAGAGCTACAAGCAGGCAAAGAAAAACACTTGCAAGCTTACCTGCAGTTCAGCTGCACATCCCTTGCCACGCACAAACTCTATGTGCCAAGCGCTCAGCATCCAAAGCAAACACTTAAGTGATATGAATTTATTTTAGCAGAGTAGCAGGGTCTTGCCATTGGAAACGGATAGCGCCCAGTTTCATGAGACCCCTGACTGTTTGGCAGCCGAATGTAGTTTCCCACCTCCTAGTACTATCACATTGCCTGACATACAACTGTCAAAGGAATTTTAACACACGAACAGCTGGGGGTTGAGCCCCAACCTCCTGAGATTCTATGACAGCCTTGCAAGCAGCCATTACTTTATGCAATTTTTCAGAAAGGCCGGAACCAAGTGGTTGAATAAGGCGTTGGTGATGCTGAGACTTCGGTTGATACGTGGATGCACATTGCAAATTGCAAATCCTTCGCTGAGCAGGCGGATGGCACGGTGACTTTTCTGCATCGATGTCTGCGAATCGTTTTTTACAGAGGAGGGCCGCAGAAATGGCGCAGGTCGGTATACTATTATATGATGTGGATATTTCACGACAATTCGGAATGTTCAGAAGATCCTTTCATCACAGCATGATGACCTATATATTGTGGATTAACCCTGTGTGCCGTAGAATGTGGACCAACGGAATGGGTTTGGCTAGGTGCGCTTGTTTGGGACGCATGTTCTTTCATCCGTTCTTCATTGTCATGTTTACATACTTGCATCTGCATATTTGTAAGTACGCACGTGAATAAATATGTAGGCAGACATTCATCAAGGTTGTCAAGCGCTTTGTTCACAGCTGTCTCCATATTGTAGTTTCCCTAAATTGGGGGACCCCAACATAGACCCCAAAATATTATAGTCCTTATTATGGTGAACCCCAAAATTGGACCCCTAATCTTGGGAACCCCCATACTACAATTCGTAAAAGGGTGGGCTGAATGTCAGGCAGACCCGATCCATGGCCGTTCAAACAGTAGCAGCCAAGCAAAAAGTGGGGACCTGGGCCCAAATGCTGGCACGTATTCCTCGACACTTGCCAAACTCAAGCCCTGAACCTGGCACCTCAACCCTGAAATGCTCACGGAAACGTCGATTCCAGT